GGCAGAGACCGTTGCCTTTGTAGACACGAGAATCTGTTTTTCAACAATCCACTGCAGCGCTCCCCAACGGGCCTGACCGAGGAATGTGCCTTACTAGACCGGCAGCAAGCAATGGAGGTCACGTGGATCTCAGGGACAGGAGTGATGAACCAAGACTCCAAGCCGCAGCCGTTGTCGCCTGTGTGTTTAGAGGACGGAATCTATTATAATCTGTTCTTTTTAAAATTGATGGCAAGGAAGCAGTGAAAAGAGCTGATTGCAACTTTTTGTTTTCCTGGTACTATGCTCCTTCGGATAGTATTTACAAAGACATGCCAGAGGTAAACACAGGGCCTGCACAGTTGTTAATGCTTGGTACAGCACATTTTCTGTGGTACTGTGGTTTTCAAGCGGTACATATCCACCGTATGCAAGAGGAATGAATCGAGCATGCTCACCGAGGAGGGGCCTGTCGTTGTCTACCAGCTGCCCTTGCTTGATTTTGCCGCAGAGCCAAGAGAAGCATTACAGAAAGGAGTTGTGCACCGACCCAGGGCACCGTGGCTCCATGGATCTTACCCGGCATTCTGCGTCATGCATCTGGAAGTATGAGAGGGATACCGACATGAATTTACCTGAATGTTCCACTCATGGTTCACAAAGCAGTCTCAATTCCAGAGCCTTCCAAGTTCTTTTGACATTATTAACATGATTGCAGCAAAACTTCATGGACGCAAGGTATGATGACAAGAAACCACTTCTTTCAAACAAACATAATGTTGCGGGCGGAAGGATGCACGTTTTAAAAGTCACGACATACTACCTAGAGCACACGCACGTGAAGTCGGAGCAGAGGGGCGGATTCAGAAGGAGTGGTCCGGATGACCCCGCTCTTGAATACTGCATGTGTCAAAATTTAGGGCGTGGAAACGGGGGTGGGTGTGAGGGGTTAAACATGACACGCTGACCAAAAACATGCCCCCTTCCCCCCTCCCCCCCCCCCCCCCCCCCCCCAGAAATACCTGCGTCTGCCCCCGGCGGAGCACACAAGCCAGCACCTCTCATTTATAAAATGGCATATCGACACCGTACCGCCGTTACGCTCTATTCCTTTTGACACCCATGGAACTGATCTTGAGTACGTAATACGAGCGTACTTATCACCATCACGTTGAGGGCGTAGAAATACTTGCGGCACAGTGCACCGCCTTCGTGGCGGTGGGATCGTTCTTGGGCAGGCCGACGATGGCGATCGTCGTTTCGTTCACGCAACCGATGACGCCGAATATCCTACCGAGCGGCCTGAGGCCCGTCTCCACGTCGTACCTCTCGCTCGGCGTCTTGGGAAAGTGGAGCCAGCAGCGCCGGACCCCGATTTGACGCACGATAGCGACGGCCGCGACGCGGACAGAGATGCCGACTGTCTTCAGTCCCGCGCTACGTCCTCATCGCTCGCCTCCAAACTTTGGAAGCACTCCGTGTCGCAGAAACGAAGTATACACCACTTGAAACTCCACAGTCGTGAACGTCCACGAGCTTCGTTTCGCAGTGTCTTCACCTCCGGTTCCTCGCGCCAACGTTGTCTCGCGCTGCCGGTGCTGCGTCGCACGCTTGCAATCCTCCGGGAGCTCGCATGCTGTGCGGTGCTGCCGGTAAGTCTTCCCGGCGAAAAACAATAACTTAATTAGTTGAAAAGTGGCATAATCGTCCGACGACGACGCGGTTTGGAAAATATGACGAACGATAGACACCTACTCAGGAGCAAGTACGTTTTGAAACTTACTCGGTACAAAACGAAACGTCACTTTGTTGTCACGTCCGGTAGCCAGTTTTGCCGACTCCGCCCACATTTTTCTACTGAAATTACGTCACTTTTGCTTCCAACCAATCAGACGTGATGACGTCACTTCCGTGTACTAAAAAAAGGAACATGTTCAATGTCAAACCTCGGTATCCTGGAGTTCAATTACCAGCGGGTGTCGTCCAAGCGCGCCGAAGGCTCGGGAGGTTCGGGCGGTGCGCCGTCTTCGTTGTCGGCAACCGTCCTCCGCGGCGTGCCTTCGAATGGCCGAAGACCCAGCTGCTCGCTGCAGCCGATAAGCCGACGCTTCAACTCGGGGTCTATTTTGCGCGAGGACACATAAGCTACAAAAGGCTCTGGACAGTGGTACGCACCCAAGACGCACCGGAAATTGAGACGCTGCGTACGTTCAACTCCGCAGCCAAGCCAATCCAACAGCAAATCCAAGAGCGAGGGGCGGGTTGATCTTTTTTTCCCTCAGGCGGCGAAAGAGCGGGGGTTTCAAATGTGGAGAGATGGTGACTGACTAAATTACGTGCTGTAACGCAAATATTGTAAAAAAAAATTTTTCGGGGGATATTTGTTTTGTGACATGCTTGTCCCAATTAGGCTGTTAAAAAAAAAATACTTTTTTTTTTTGCAGTTACCCTTTTACGGAAAAAGGCGGCGTCAACGTTTACTTTATCTGCCAGGGTTCATTTAATATTTATTTATTATTTGTTGACAGAAACAACCCGAAGCGCCGAAGCATTATAGCCGGGCAACACAAAATAATACACATACTCGCAAACATAAATACAATGGCAAAAATACAATAATTACCCTATTAAAAAAAAAAAAAAAAAAAAACAGTACGATTCTGAACTTGGCATACTTGAATTTGAACTGGGCAAAATGAAAATCGAACTGATTAAACTGGCGATATAGGAAAACAAGCTGGCCGATTCGGAAAATTAACGAGCCAAACTGGCAGATAAACCTCCAAAACAGGCAGCCGAACTTGCCAAACAGGAAGCCAAACTTGCCAAACAGGCAACCCAATTTGGTTAAACAGCAAAGAAAACTTGTCAAACAGGCAACCGAACTTGACAAACAGGCAGCCGAACTTGGAAAACAGAAACCTGAACTTGCCAAACAGGCTAAACTGAGATCTAGACAGGTGAAAGTGATAGCAGAACTGGCCCTACTGGTATTCAAACTGTTCAAAATGGTGACTGAACTGGCTACACTAATAATCAAACTGTTCTTCAAACTTGCGAGCTTCAAATTGTGGTGGAACTGTTCCAACTGATAGCTAACTGTTCAAACTTGTAGTCGAACTGTTCAAATTGGTAATTGAACTCCTCTAACAGGCAGTTGAACTGTTCAAAATGTTGTATATACCGAAGAAAGGTTAGGGGTTATATTATCTGCCTAGAAGCTTACTTTGGTCAATTAGTTCGTAAATATAATTTAACTATACTTACAACGGTTGCCGCCTTTTGCTTCAGCCTCCCAGACCAAAAAAAAAAAAACTACCCTTGTCCGAAATAAGGTAATTACAATAAAAATAATCCTGGAGAACTTGTAATTCATTGCAACTTAAATTTCTTTTAGAAAGTAGTGCAATTATTTTACAATTACGTTACTTTGAGCTACCCAAAATCAATAACTTTTATATGATAGCATAGCATTTTCTTCTCTCTGAAATGCAATTTTCGAGTGTTTTCCTTTTGGTGTTTTGTTTTGCTAGTTTTAATTCATATGATAGAATGTCAAATTGCAAGTAGAATACAAGTAATTGATTTTAGACCGTTTTACAAATGGTTTTAAATGGACGCTTGTTTTCATTTTTTTCTAAAATTGATTTTTTTAAAGATGGAACACGTGCATTTAGAGCAGGCTTATCACCTGTACCGTCTAAAGTTGTTCCAGTTACTAAAAACTTGTTCCACAAAAACTCTTCGCAGTCTTTTAAAAAAAATATATATATATTATGCGACTTTGTTTCACTTATGTGGTTAGTTGCGGAGACACACACCTAAAAGAAAAAGAGCGCTCGTTCTTTTTTTTTTTTTTTTAATTTACCACTTTGTTAAAACTCATGTACGAGTTCCTCTCCAGCGGAAGATCCAAAGCTCCGTTTTTTTCGTTTCTTTTTTTTTTTGGGGGGGGGGGGGGAGGAAGGGGGGAGATATTTGTAAGGATAATGATTTCCCATTCTTTTTTGTGTACGGGGGGTCCACCCATGTCAAATTGCCCTCCGAGAAGGGGGGACGCGGGTGGTCGACTTGGTTTGGAGGGAGCGGCCGCCCCCGTCGCCCCCCCCCCCCCCTTGGACCCGCCACTGCCGTCCTCCAAGTAAAGCAGTAATCTTGAGCTTTCCACTTTAACTGCAAAATCTTTCTATTGAAAATTGCCTGTTTTATTTCACCTGCTATACGGGCGCAGATCGTTGTCATGCCATATTTAGAAATAAAATAAAAAAAACATATAATATTTTATTTGTTTGCAGCTGAATTTAAACTGTACATACTGTAATTGATCGGATCATATCGGTAATCAAACTGCTGAAATGGAAACAATCAAGGCGTCGGACTTCTCGAGGCACGTTCGAAGCGCGATATTTGGAAGAGCAACGGATGTTCGCCCCATTTGCGGAAGTGGCCGATTGGCATCTCTCTGAAATCACAACCGTCAATAATAGAGCTCAATCAATGAATACACTAGTGTTTACTGCAGAGTTAAGGACGGCCCACTGAAGTTCGCGCTGGCATATTTCAATAAAAATAATAATAATAAGTGTTCTTGCTGGTGTAGTTCAATAGAACGTGCAAACAGAGCTGTTTGCTCCCGCGCAGACATGCTCACATACACGAGCGCACGCACGCATGCACACGCTCAAACGCACGCAAGCACAACCACAGACGCACGCACACACAAGCACAGGGACGCATTCACACGTGCGCACGAACCCGGGCGCATGCACGCACACACAGGCACGGTTGCGAATACGACGAACGAAAGGTTGGTTGAAATAGTTTCGGTTTCGGTTCTTACACTTAAAAAAACACCTAAACTTTAAATAAAACATAAGATGGACTAAATCTTCGTTAATTTTTTACAACATTATTATAGTGACAATATTATTATCAATACAATATAATTTTGCTTGGTTTCGCTAAAAAATAATCTTTTGATGATTGGGGAAGACCATCGCTATCGCAATCAGCTTCCGTTTGGCCGTTTGTCTAAGGCTGGCGACGTTGGGGATGCGGAGGCTTCGAAAATCGTTTCCTTTTTTTACGTTTTAGCCGTTATAGCAGGTATTTTAGATGTTTCCTTACGAATACCATGTTCAAGAATGTCCAGCGATGACTGAGGGCTGGGAGACGCCGCGTTTTACCAACGCCCGCAAGTTGCGGACGCTGCTGCAAGCGCCGGTAAGTAACTTTCCTTTGTTTCTGCGAAGTGCGCCGCTGTTATAAACTTCGTCGTGTACCATGTGCTTGTTAAGCTATATGCTTGATTCTGACAATGCGTCTGGCCGATGTTATTTCGTTATTTAAAAAGATCGTACCTTCTTCAAAACCTATGGCTCGCTTCGCAGAGCGAGACAAATTCGCGTGCGGCGGAACTGAGCCTGTTCGGCTCTTGGCAACGTCCGACGACGTTCGTCCGACGACGCTTTTGCGGAGCGTTCAAGTGCAATCTGACGGCAGTTTATGCAATCACAGGTCATGCTAGTTCTGACGGATGGTCCCAACAGCCGCCCTCCACCGATTTGTTTCGTAAAGCGGGAGCGAGAAAAACGTTGCAAAAGCGAGCAGCATGATTTCTTTCCAATGCTTACGCCTGTGCCGTAGAGACGCGCGGTCTCTGCGCGTATGCCGAAGCGACAGGTTTTCGAAGTTTACCATTGTTTTAATGTAAATAAAATGAGTTTGGATGTCACGTTTTTTAGTGGCGGCGAAAGCCCCTACAAATCGAGTGCCTAGAAAAGGCAAAAACATAAAAAAAAATGCGAAAAGAACCTGAATATTCGATGAAGTGGAAATACTCCCAACGTATCGTCTCGCCCAGTTATTCTTTCTGTCAAAGAATAATAGCCAGTAGTAATAAATTAAATAAATGCAAACTTTTAATTGGTTACAGATTTGTAAAGCTAGATGGCTTTTACGATATAAGGCATTGTGTAAATGTATAGGGTAGTTCATAGCAACAATTTATGTCCAATCCATTATATTGTTCATTTTCTCTAAATGCTTGAAGTTGTGTGAAAAATTGCTCACCAATGAATGTGCAATAGGGTGACTTTATGGGTGTTCTCAGCCAAAGAAAAAGATGCATTCAAAAAGGGTCAAATATTGTGTTTCCCCTTTGTTAGAACACTTCTTTTAGGTATACGCAAAATGTGCGTGTCTGCGTCTAAAATAGAGGAATTGACATGTCCCGCGGGGCTGGTACGCCTGACTCAGATTGGCTGGCAGCTTGCAGCCTATGGGAACCTGGGGAACCGCCACAAGATTGGGAGTGATCCCCACCCTCCACTTCCTCAGCGATGGGCACCATAAGGAAGGGGGAACTGCCGCTAAAGTGAATGCAAAGGCAGGTGGGTCGTTCCAATGAACCCCTATACAGATGATACCAAAAAAAGAATCATACAAAAATGTATTATTAAAAACAAAGAGTGCGAATTGCACGGACAAGAAGGAGGAGATGAACACAGCGCTTTGTTGTGTTTGTATCATCAATATCCATATTCTTCTCAATTTCTTTTCAATAATTGGCTACAACTGGTCCAATCATCAGCACTAGCCAACAAAAGTATGCTGCTATTTTTTTACTCTGCAATGACACTGTGCTTACAGTTGAATCCTACAGTGATGAACAAACAAAAAAAAGGATGCAAGCCAGGCACGCAGCCAGGATCTTGATTCGGTGGTGCCAATCACAAACTGCCGTATGGGGGATGGGTAGGGAGGGCTCCGTGTTTTCAGAGCTTATTTTTCGTGAAATTCGAAGGGTGTTCTTCGGAGTTTATTTTTAGCGAAAATCTGGTGTTTATCGGTGTTTATTTCTTGTAAATCCCCAATTCTCCGAAATTCGAAGATTAATTTCGCAGTGTTTCCTATTGAAATTATAACTAATAACCGGATGAAAACATATCTCAAATAAAAATAAAACGCGCTTGTATCAATTAAGATTTCTTCGATTGAATTTGGCGTTGGTATCACCGGCAATACTAATTTGTCCCGCGACAAAAGTCGCAGACAAGTGCGGCTTCGATAAACCTCGATACCTTAAAATTAATGAATTGCCGGAGGAAGCTCGTATTCATCCCATCAATCTTTCACGGGGCCACGCGACGTGGAGTGCTTAATGACGTAATAGAGAAGTTTCAACTGCCCCTCTTCCCTATTTTATACAATCCCTATGGTCCATAGCTTTCACTGTTACCCCCAGAAACATACCCTCTCCTTTCTCCAAATCCCATGGCCCAAACTGGAAAACAAAAGTGTAGCTTTGGTCGTGACACGGATGGTACGATGACCTGTTTCCCTAAACTAACCTTGACGAGACCAGCCGTAAGACGTCTTTTGACAACGGCTCGATGCTTTAAAAATGATTATGGTGTCATTTTCCCAGAACCTTTAATCCTGCGCTGCTCGGGGGGGGGGGGGGGGGGGGGGGGAAGTGTTGAGATACGGGAAAAGGGGGTAAATGTCCATGCGTACTAAATTGCTCAAATTGTAAAAAAAAAAAAAAACATTTTTTTTTTGCCGTGGGGTGGCATGGGCACATAACAATTCGGAGTTTATCGGATAAGTCAGAATTGACAAAAAGTTTACCAGCGGGTGTTTTTCACAGTTTTTTGGATTTATCCGAAGACGCGGAATCTTAGGGAGGGGGAAGAGGAGGCCCCAGCAAAATGAAAGACCTTGTGAAGGAGGGCGGGGGGCGGGAGGGGGGGGGAGAGGGGGGATGACTTTCAGCTGGAAAGCTCTCAGGCATTCTAAGGATATTGTAGGTTCTGCACAGCTAGGAGCCTGGTTTACATGGTAGAAATCAATCAAAAGGTCTCCAACTTTTTTGTGTGCTGTAGCATCAGCCCCGTCCCTTGGTCTTGTGTCAGTGGCAGCTCCATTCCTTGCCTCTCCCACCCCCGCAGCGGCACCCCCTCTGCCTCAGCACCTTTTTCCTGCCCCAGCAACTATCCTCTCTCTGATTCAACAGAACATCCCACCCCTGCAGCAGCTCCCCCCCCTCCCCCTTTCCGGATCAAGAACCCATTCCTGCCCATGCAGCTGTCCCCTTTCTGGATCGCACTGCTCCCACCCCTAGAGCAGCACATCCTCTGGGCCAACACCATGCTCCACCAGCAGCCCTACCGGCCCTGAAAATCTTGGTAAGCCGAGCCATTAAAAACTGATGAATTGAATCAATATTAGTGTTTGTTTTCTCATAGAAAGTAGTTAGGTTGAGAGCACGATATTGTTAGCGCAAACACGCGATGGTGGGTTTTTACTATCTTTCTTTTAGAGTCGGAGGGCTGTCATGCAAACTTCTTCTGTCGTGGGAAATGGTAATTTGGGACACTAGCATACACGTTAAAATATGGCCCCCAACAAGTTTTATTTTAAAGTAAAACTAAAATCACTAATGTTCTGTTTGCACTAACAGTGTTGCGCAGTGTACACATTGCGATACTGTTAGCGCAAACACGACATCAGCACATTTTCGCATTTTACTTCCAAATTGTATTTGCGAGCACGTAATTTTATTGCTTACAATACAGAACTAAATGAGCTCTTTCCGTAGCAATATTAACTTGGATGACATCCCTTCGTTTCCAAGAGAAAAACTAGAAAAAAACGGCGATCGCTTGTTCGCGCTGTGTACATAAAAAGAAAACATAAATTGCGTGTATTTCTATTGTGATGGGCTCAATCAGTGGCTTTGTCATCTGAAACTTATAACATATGCTAGCCTTTACTCCTTTATATTAAAAAAAAAACAAGCGTCTTCAGAACAGTCTTTAGTGCCCCTTTACCCAAATGCGACTGAGGAACAGCATGCACGTAACCAACACATGCGGATAGCCAGCACTTGCGATTAGCTGTCGAGCACCGTGTGTCGTTCGGCCAGGTTGCGTATGATTATGCTTCTGAAATTTTTCCGATGCCTAGAGCTCTAAAATGAGTTACCAAAAAAAGCAATCTGAGAAACCTCCTTTAATGCCCCTCAAACTTTATAGCTGCAGAATGTTGTCCCCGCATACAGTATATAGTCCTTTCCAACATTGATTTGGTCATAAACCCAAATTTTTAAGTCGAATGGACTTCGCCTTGAACAGGGTATAGTTTTGCTTTATGACAAATAGTTGTGAATCCCTAGTGGGTTTCTGTAAATTCTGCCTGAAATAAAGTTGTCAAATTCGATCCTACCAATGCACACACATTTATATTTCATGGACAGCATACCAGACGAACGCAGCACTCTAGGATGCTCTGCCACCTCTCTATGAAGTCAGGCAAAGGAATGTAAGTGACTGGTTTACTTCTTTGTTTCTTTTACATTGTCCTTGTAACTGATTCTTTTTGAAAAATAAACTGCTACTTAATGCTGAACTGATATTTTGATTCACGGAATGTGTGGCTGACTCACCGATCCCTGCCACTCGTGCTTTGCCCACTGGCGGAGAGGATCGAAATAGGCGAACTCTTTTTTTCTGTAATAACCAATATCAAAAGTGTTTAGTCTGGCAACAACAGGAGTTGGATAAGCATAGTTGCCAATCGCCACTCGGCTTTGTTGAATAGAAGGCGTTGTGGTAGAGTGAAATGGTCACTGCAGCACCATGGTTTGTCCTGCAGTCTCTTTTTTCCTTATTGGGGGGGGGGGGGGGAGGGACTGTGCAGTTTTTTAGGCATATGTTTTCAAAGTTCAGTTTCAGAACCTGCGGCAAAACTAAATCCATCAGCTCCTGCACGATGGCAACATTGATGGCATCGTTGCTTTCGTGCCGCTGCTAGGGCTGGAGTACTTGGTGCACCTGGTGAGGAAAAAATGCCTTGCGATGATCATCATCGGTACTGCTCGATGCTTTCCGGAGCGTTCAAGTGCAGTCTGAAGCCACTTGAACTGCTCGCTTTTATGAGAAGAACGGCGCGTTCAGCTTACGCCGTCAGTGTTGGCGTTCTCTTCCGAATGGTGTTTATCATGTGCATTCTCTAATGCATGAACAAAACTTTGTTGTTCTGGTTTTAATCTGCTGCCAACATGAAGAACTTGTATGATGGCGAGGCTCCCTTGTTTTTGTAATAAGGGGCAAAAGACACCTTTTTGTGACGTTTACAAACTAAAGATGCAATCGGAATAGAAGAGAAAAATAACTTGCCCAAGGATTCCAGGAAAACATAAAAACCAGCCGGGCTCATTCAACGGCTGGTTTTTATGTTTCCTGGAAAAAGATCAACGTTTTTCAGGTCAATTAGAGTCCACGAAGTCGTTACTGGCGTTTTTTTTTATTTTATAGGATTTTTCCGAAAACGCTATAAGCAAAGAAAAAAGTCGTATTAACACAGAACGTGTTGTAGGGATAGGTCATGCGAAAAAGCTGCATTAGTTGCTTGCAACGCTTCCTTGCAGTGCTGGACCGTTAAACCTTGGACTGTAATGCACTCTCTCTCTCTCCCCCTTCCTTCCTTCCATTCCAGAATCTTCCGTGATTTGTCCGGGTACAACTCTCTCCTCTCCCCTCTCACCCTCCGCTTTCCTTCCCCAGGATCTTTCGTGTCCCTCCCCCAGGCCCCTCCTCCTCCCCCTTCTTTGCCAGGATATTTTGTGTCGTAAACTGGCTTATTTAATGAAGTGCAACCAACTTAGAAGATAATGAGAAAACCCAAAACTTCAATTGTCATAACCGATTACCGTATCTGGAGTAGACACTGGTAATTTCCGGTCTAGAAACTCTAGAAACTGATCGTTGTGAGCTGTACATCGCTATATGTGGAATCGTTGTAAGTGGTTAGCTCTGTAATAATAAACAAGCTTGCATGTGGAATTTCTAGCCTCAATGCGATCTTAGTAAGCGGACATTGTTGACTTCAGCTTTGTCAGCATCACCATCACTTGGCCCTTTTCTTTTTTTCTTTTAAACTATTATCTCTAAGAATCAAGGCAAGTTACTAATTGAATAATTAAAGAGTGGTGATCAAACATGTTAAAAGGTTTATTCTATCCCCACTTCTAACATATATAATTTTTAAGATTACCAGACTACAATCCTAAATTTCATGTAAGGCTAAGCAGTGAGTAATATATATAGTTCTAGCTGGCAACTACTGATCCACTTTTCTTTCAGATGCCTTGAGCTACTATGTCTACCAGCATTCAAACCCCAAGGCTGTCAACCTGCAAGAGGACCACGCTGTTCTTGTGCGGCAAATGAACGACACCACGAAAAACTTCCTTTCGGATCTGGACTGCACCGAACTGTGAATGTTTTTTTTTCTTCCTTTATTCGCATTTAGTGGAATTTTTTACCTTTACGGGTTCATGTTGTGCCACATACATTATGTTTGTTATTGTCTAGTCAGACTTTTTTTAATATTTACAGTGTGGTGCCTCGGGCATGATTGACCAACAGGCGTTGCAGCGCACAATGAATGTTTTTGTTGTTCATCCCAGCCAGTCCACCGTTAAGAGAGCGTCACGTTTCCTTGAGCTCCGCCCATCCAGAATGCTACGTGACATCCTTTTGGCGCTGAATTGGCTGGGGTGGCCGAAGCCTCCCCTGCGCTCGCACGAAAGGTGACACAGTGTGTTATCTTTAGGGTTGTATGTTGTGCCACACACTGAATGTTTTTGTTGCCTAGTCCGACTTTACTTTAATCTTGTTTAATGCCTCGGGTATATTTTTAAGGCACCACACAATGTTTTTTTTAAACCTTGTCTAGTCACACTTTATGTTTAGTGTTATAGAATCGCATGCATATTTTGAGCATGCCCGAAAATTTCAATATGAATAAGACATATCAAAGTATTGGTAAATTCGGGTTTTTAACTAATATTCGGAGACTATTTGGTGTCCTTTGCTGTTTGTCTCTAGGATAAGGTAGAGCGGATTATGTGAGAGGTAAAATAAGCAGTTTATTAAATTTTCTGCACTTTGGACCATGACCTCAGCAAAGCTGCTATTCAGTCCTGGATTTACCAATCCTTAATGTTATTTATTCATGTTAAAATTTTCAGGCACATCCAAAAATATGACCGACATCAAGTTTTTGGCATGGAATGACCCTATACAAAACTACTAAAGGATTGTATAAAGTTTCAATGGAAATATAAAGGTTGTGACAGTTTATGGCCTGTGTATTCAGTATGGTGAAGATGGCTGTACTGGTGTCTCAGGTACAACCAGTTGTACCGGTTTCACTAGCGAAACCGGAACAACCGGTGTGCCCGTGTGACCAGTGTGGCTAGTTTTTACCATATGCCCAGTAAATCCAGTATTACCAGTGCATCCGGTATACCAATGTTCGATAAACCCAGTATTCCCAGTAAAAGTACCAGCATTCCCAGTTTATCCGTCCAATAACCCAGTTTGATACCGGTTCAGTATTCTCAGTAAAACTACTACCAGTATTCCCAGTTTGCCCTACCAATAATTCGGTTTGATACTGGCCTAGCATGCCGAGTATGAAAATATTTTGAACAGGGTAGTGTTAAATAAAATACACACACTCTTGAATGTAAAAAAAATTTAGGATATTGAGAAAAAAATATCCTACGTCATCTGTAGTAAATGCTGATGCAGGCAATGAATTACAGTTCGTTATTGTACCAATCAAAAATTAGTATTTTTATAATCAGTTCGGCAAAATATTTTCTTGATCTTATTACAATGATCTATTCTGGCGTAAATAAAGTTTGGTCATTCAAGATATTTATACTTATCAATTCTAGTTAAGTTACTAAATATTGGGGAAAAAAACCTTTGGACCAAATTTCTTTCTCCTTATATTCAATAGTTCCCAACCGATCTCACCCTTAATATCTGTCACACTGGACGTTCTATCGTACTTTCCCGATACAAACCTTGCAGCACGGTTTTGAATTTTTTTCTATTTCAATGGAAAACTACGCTTGGTGCGGGTCCCACAGAACACACGGATATTCAAGCATCGGTTTACCAAGCAGCAGTAAGCAGTTTCTTTTAGATTTTTGGGAGCACTGCATAGATGCCTGTTAATAAATTTTAACATTCGACCAGCCTTTTGTACAGGTTGGGTTACGTGAGCATAAAAGGAAGATCGCTTAATAAAATGACTCCATGATACCTCACAGGCGTGTTTCTATGTAAATGTCGTTAGTTAATAGGGTAACAAAGATGCTGTCGCGTTTTTTTTCCCGAAAGTGGCGTGCACACACTTGTCAGCATTGAGACTTATTTCCCACGTTCGGCATAAACTGGATATTTTATCTAAATTAAATTGTGCAGAATCATGCAAATGTCTTACCTTGCGATATAATACAAAATCATCTGCGAAAAGCCCCACAGGCGAGTCAATACCTACAGCTATGTCATTTATAAAAACAACGAATAAAAGACGCCCCAAGACTAACCCCGGTGGAACGCCAGATGTCAAAGCTACAAATTCTGATTTTGCACCGTCAATGATTGCGCATTGCTTTCTTTCAAAAAGATAATTTTCAATCTATCGGTGGGCGCTGTTACCAAGGTCGAAAAAGCGCAGTTTATACAACAACAAATGGTGGGACACAGAATCTAAAGCCTTCGGGAAGTCAAGGAAAATTGCATGCGTTTCTCTTCCACTCTCAGTTGTAACAAGATCATTGTAAAGTTCAACAATCTGAGTCACGCACCAGAGGCCCTTTCGAAAACCATGTTGAGCTGGAGAAAAGAAGTGGTTAGTATCTAGATGTGTTACAACATTACTATACACGATGTTTTCTAAAACCTTGCAGCACACACAACCAAGGGAAATGGGGCTATAGTCTTCTACAATTTTTCTCGATCCTTGCTTGTGGATTGGCGTAACAAATATCTTTTTCCATTCGCTTGGAAGTCCACTTTCCTCTAGAGACTTTGAAGAAACTATGTGAAGGTAGGGGGACACGGTGAGTGAGCACGATTTTGGCACTATTGGCGACAAGCCGTCTGGGGCCACCAATTTGTTTACATCTAGGTCCTCTAAACATTTCACAATATCTTCTATATTTATGACAAGAGGCGGCATAGGAGGCCCTGTTCCGTCATTGAGGAGTGGATAACAGGAACGCATTTTGGTAAAGGCGAATATAGGCTGAAATAATTGTTGAAACAATTGGCTTTATTATGATTATCTTCAATAACCTCATCATCACTCAAAATATCCGGGATGCCAACATCTTCATTACCAGTTTTTCGTAAGTAGGTCCGAAATTCTTTACTATTTGACTGCATTCCAACTGAAAGTTTGCCAAAGTATGCCCGTTTCGCCAAGGTGATAACACCTTTATAAGAATTATTCAGCTTCTCAAGTTTCGAAACAGCAAATTAAGATAAATGCATTTTGTACGTCTGATATGCACGCCTACGTTGATTTCTTACTCTGTTAACAGCATACGTCATCCAAGGCTTATCAGCTTTAGTATTTTCAGATATATATTTTGCTTGAATATATTTTTTAATTAGACCTGACAAACATTTCTTAAAAGCAACCTATGAAGTATGCGCACAGCTCTCCAAGGATAATCTAGTAAAATCACCTAAATATTCAAGCAAATATTTTTCTATGCCTTTATAATTTCCTTTGTCATATATCAATACTTCTCTACTACTTTCCTGTGCACCAAAAAGACGAGGGAGTGTTAAACTAGCTGTGACTATGCTATAATCGCTGATTCCAAGCCGTACCTATTTCAGTCGCACCTATTATCTTGGACCCAAATTTTATTGCAGGCGAACACATTTCGCTCGACTTGGCTGCCGGCGGTTATCGTCTCGACGACCAGCCGCACATCACACCCTTCAGCACGTAGGAAGACTGCATCACCGGCGCAACCCTTCAGGCCCACTACACAGCGCGGCCGGCAGCAGCACTTGCTATTAGCCTCAGAGACTCCCTCACCGCGTGCCCAGCCACCGCTCTGCAGAAGCAGCAGCTCGAGAGCATCCTGCACCCGTTCGCAATGATGTTCATGGCAACCCCGGGCAATACCGACGTGTTGTTGCACCGCATTGAGACTGGCAACGCCCGACCCCTGCGGTGCAACCCGGGACCCCTCAGGTCCCCAAGCGAGCCCTTCTAGACGCAGCACTACAGGAGATGCTAGATACCGGAGCAGCGCAAGAGTCCCAGAGCCCCTGGGCCTTTCCCGTCATCTTGGCTCCAAAGAAGGACGGCTCCGTACGACTGTGCGTGGATTACCGCCTCCTCAATGCTGTAACGATGAGAGATTCATACCGGTTTCCTTCAATTGACTCGACTACGTATGCTATCAGCAACGCAAAAGCGTTTACCTCTTTGGATTGTAGTCGATGATTCTTGCAAATCGAGATTGACCCAGAGGACGTACCAAAGACTGCGTTCACTTGCCACAGAGGATTGTTTGAATCTACTCGCCTCCCCTTTGGCCTTTCAAATTCAACCACTAGTTTTCAGCACCCAATGGACATTGTTCTAGGCGACACAAAGTACCAATTCGCCATGGCTTACATGGATGACGTCGTAGTTTTTTCACATAGCTTCGAGGAGCATCTTGAGCACCTAAGAATTGTCCTCAAGCGCCTTTGAACTACCGGCCTAACAATTCACCCTAAAAAGGTGCAACTCGCTTCAGCACAAATTAACCTTCTTGGTATCGTGGTGGACAACGAAGTTCTTTGCCCCAACGAGGACAAGCTGCGGGCGGTAGCAGAGTACCCGAAGCCACACGACGTCAAGAGTTTGCAGCGGTTTCTTGGCTTGATTACATTTTATCGCCAATTCATTCCTTCCTGTGCCGAGATTACTCACCCCCTGACTTTGCTCCTGCGCAAGGGCGAGAAAGGGTGACGGGGGGGGGGGGGGGGGAGCAGCGCGTCGCCTTTCTTAGGCTCTCGAAAGCCATCATCGACGTCGCCTCTTTGCAGCCCGAATCTCAATCGCCCATTTGTTGTTCAAAAGGATGCCACCAACTTCAGTCTCGGCGCAGTCCTGCTTCAGGAACACGACAACGTTCTTCGCCCAGTCGCCTTCGCCAGCCGCACGCTGACAGCGGCCGAGCGGAACTATTCCGTGACGGAAAAGGAATGTCTCGCCATCATCTTCGCCTTCAAGAGGTTTAACATGTATCTCGATGGCGCTCCCTTTCAGATCCATACTGATCACCAAGCGCTCTCGAGGCTGAAGAACCTGCAAAAACCCAGCCGGACGTTTCGCACGATGGGCTTTCACACTACAAGCTAACGACTACTCCTTCGCGTACAGGAAAGGAGCGACTAACGTCGTGGCGAACGCAATGTCACGAGCTCCTTTGCAGGTCCCTCCCAGCCCACTGAGACAGAACCAAAGTTCGTGCGATTAACTGACATCGTGGCCAACACTTCAGAGTCGCGGTGGGGTACGTTGGTGAGCCGAGCAGACCTCCGCAAGGCCCAGCAGGAAGACGGATTTTGCCGACGCGTGTGCGAGGGACTTGCAGTAGAGGGCTGGCAGCACTGGAAGCGACTGGGAGTACGACTCGTACCTGCTGAGCAAATACGGACTTCTCCGCTGCATCTCCCAGGCAGACGACGACGCCGACGGATCGCCTTTCCGGATCGTGATACCTCAGAAGCTGCGCAAGTTATTCATGAGGTATTTACACGATTCAGCATTATCGGGTCACAGCTGCGGCAGTAAGACTTACGGTAAGATATGTCGTGTTGCGACTTGGCCAGGAATCAGGCAGGATGTACTGAAGTATGCTCGCATTTGTCCAGTGTGTCAAAAGGCAAAACCGCGCGGAGGCCAATCACCAGGATTATTGGCGCCAGTCGTAAGCCAGTCGCCTTGGCAGATTGTTGCCGGTGATATGATAGGGCTGTTTCCACTTAGTCCTCGCGGGAATCAGTATCTACTGGTTGTGACCGACCACTTCACCAAGTGGGTCGAACTCTTTCTCTTGCGGAAGCTTCTTTCGCAGCGCATCTTGGAAGATCTGTCCGTCTTCACCAGATTCGGCTTCCCTGCTGAGCTCATCACGGACGGTGCTTCGTACTTTAGGAGCAAGATATTTAGTGGTGTCCCTCAGGGTAGCATCCTTGGACCACTTTTGTTTAATATATGTATAAATGACATTTCCGATATTAGTACTCTTGCAAA